AAAAATTGTCTTATTAAGGGTTCAAAAATTCAGGATCCCATTCAAGTCTGGTCTGGAAGGAAATTTTGATACCACTTCAAAACATGTTTGTCAGAAATGTTGGGTGTCAAAGTTTGTATGTAATATATGTAGATCTGTATTTAACACTCCTTGCTATAGCCCTGGGAATTATTATTGACTAGGGAAGACACTTTTCTCTCACTGTTAAGCTGTATGGTTCTCAACTAAGACTCCTGAATAATTTACGATAATTTGCATATTTTTTAGTTAAGTTTTCTCCGCTCTTTTAGCTCAGCCATCAGAGAAACCAATAGCAAAAGGATGGAAGCCAGTAAAACCATGCACTAATTGCAAAGGTATGAGAAAACCATATCATGACTATAAATGAGTGAATTAATTCAAAACACGAAAATAATAACTAAGGTTTTCCAGAAACAATTAAGAATAAAAAGCAGTGATATTAAAGAATGACGTTTTGACAGCTCCATACCATCATTCTCAAATTCAAATAAAATACATTATGTGAATTCATCATATAGTGAATGGACGTGTGAAGGTCTCAATGCATATGATTAAGAGAGAAAAATAATCGATCAGTTCAAGCGCACCACACTTGGTATTTTTATTCATTGATTATTTTGGCCTGATCTAAATTCTGTCAAAATTTTGTTTTGTTTCAGGTTGTTCAGAAGACATCCGTGCAGCTTTTAATGAAAAGCTTGTGAAGTTCTTGTCTGAAGAATTCATGCAATATGTTCAAAGGTCGTCTCTAGCTTCTGCAGAGAAAGTTCAAGGTAACATGAATTTTGATTGTTAATTAATTTACTAGATGTCATTATCATATGATATTATTGGAGCTTATGAGTGGGAGGCACAGTGGACACTGGGGCATTATTAGAAATTATAGGCATGCAATGCATGCACAGTGCTCTGTAGCAGAAATCTTTCAGAGTATGGTTACAAGTAAATCCAGTTAAATTGCCCACTGGCAAGGTCCTTTATTCACTGATTTCAGAGAAACTCTCATACGCTTCAGGGGTAAAGGGTTAAAATAAAAAAAATTTAACCAAAACTGACTCCCCAGAAAGATTTCGCATCATAATAATTAAAAGTCCTAATATTTTTTTTCACTTGTTTGATTATTGACTTCCAGTTGATAAAGGTAGTATTTAAAATGTTAGAAAATGATGAGAAAGGCTGACATATTGATGTTTGTTGCTATTTTAGGTCAGTCTGACAGCATGGGTAAAGTTCATCTTTTACTCTGGAAATTCACACACCTTGATGAAAATGCTGATTACATGCTGGAAATGAGAGAGTTACATAATTTCCTCAAGATAACAAAAAAGTCTATTCATCCCAAAAAGTGCAGCCGTACTTTTGTGGCCTACTGCGACCGGGACGGAGACCACAAGATATCGCTCAATGAGTGGTATACGTGTTTTGGAGTAAAAGGTAAGGAATACCTCAGTTGTCATTATTTTGGACTTTGGGTACAAATGTGTATTATATATCCTTGGGGCATCTTGAGTATCCAAAAACGTGAATATATATATATATTTGAGTTGTATATATATATATGTGACCGTGAACAGGAAAATGTACCTTAACGCTTATCCGTTAAACAGGTAAAAGCGTTAAGCATCCGTTAGTCATCCGTTAGAAAGTTTTCTTAAAAACGTTAGGGGCGTTAGCCCAACCGTTAGACGTTAGCATCGGGCCGTTTGAATGGAGAGTGCAACCGTTAGCAAGAGACATGTATCCGTTAGCCATTAGCATCAGACCGTTAGACGGGACAGCATAACTGTTAGCAAAAACTCTGTATCCGTTAGCAAGGCTAGAGAAGCCGTTAGGATCCGTTAGAATGAACTAGCATACGTTAAACGGGTAACAATTCCGTTAGAATGGCATGGCACGCATTGAAGTAGCATGTGGTACATAGCCTAACGCAGTGTGAAACGAGAGCAGCTCTTGGCTTCCATTTAGTTCAAAACAATCATGAGAGATAGCTATCTTTC